CTTATTCTTCAAACTTCTTCTGCAGGTCAGAAACCTCCATGCTGGTTGTCAGAGCCATTACCACATCTGGAGAATTTTTCCCTGGAGTGTTTGGTACTGAATTATTTCCAATCACACAGTGTCTCTGTGCCTGAGAAGATGCAAATAATGATCCAGAGATCCTCACTGTAAACTAGCAGTTTATTTAACTTCATCCCATTAATACAATTAAACCTGAGGTGATGATGATCATTGATCACTGCACAGCTTCACAGGAATGTCTGGGCTAGTTTGTTTTCTCAGACAGGTTTTGGATGGATGCAATTAAACAGAATCCTTTCTGTTGCTGGAGGTTTCTGATGCAGTCACTGAAATCCACATCTAAACCAATAAAGAACCTGGTCTTCCAGTTAATTTTGAGTGAAGAGCTCTAACTGCAATACTGGTGGAGTCTGTACTTCTAAAGCTATTATAGAGCTAAATGTTGGTCAATGAGATGCCTTCAGGCCCATTGAGACCTTTGAACTGCAAGTTATTTTATCTTTTTGTAGCTTTTTATTTTCTTTTGTAAGAGGCATGTACTCCCACATGTGCTTAGGAAAATGAAAGAACCAGATGAAGAGGAGGAAGGTAAAATGCCAAATATCTCAACCAATCCTGCTCAGCACCAAACATGGGCATCTACTGAATACAGAAGGCAACAGAAATAACTCAGGTGTTTGTTTTGCAATCAGCTGGCCTACACAGGGGAGCAGGAGGGGAGTTCAGTGTGCTGGCATTGTTGGCCGTTTTAATTTTCAAATGCAGCTGAACAATAGATTTTGATCATCAGTCTCACTAACATTCTTACTAAATGTAAATTAAGTCATTCAAAGGACTTGGGTTTGCACCTAATTATTAAAAAGACTGAATCGAAAACCACTTTTCACTCCCAGTTTTGAACCTTTTGCTACACATGAGTCATGTCACCCAAAAAAGCCATCCCACAGGGTATTCACCTAATCCATCTGGTAGTGCAAATAGTGGCAGGACTCAAAATAACAAGAAAATTGTTTACCTTTCTGAATAGGATATGAAATGACTTTCTTGCTTCTTTAAAGCAGCTCAAACATTTACACAAACTTGTTAAGCTGCTTAGAGAGAGGATTGTTTGTCCAGGTAATGCTTCTTTCAGTAAGTTAAGCTGCAAGGAAAGCATATGCTTGACTTCATGAAATTTGGGTGATTCTGGAAAAATTGCCTCTGGGAGAAATTTAAATAAATTAATGGAGAGCTTCTGCTTTTCTTCCTTCTCTGTCTTTATTCTAAACGAGCTATTCCCTCTCTATGCAGATGGGTCTGTGCAGTACTCATAAGGAAGTCATTTAATTATCTAAAGCTGCACCAGGTGAATGTTATTTACAGATGGCTGAAAAATTTTGTGTTATACTTATTTGCCAAGAAAAACCTCCCTCATTTCACAGTTGGTGGAGAGGTGTTAGTCGTCATCAAGGTAAGCTGCAGATTGTCTACTCCTGTCTGCATCTTTTTACCCATTTTGACTGTTATCTTTCTTTGTGTTTTTAAATGGTAACCCTGCAGGCACTGTGCATATAATTGAAGTAAACAATCTGCTTGTTTATCTCTGTTTTCCATTAATTAGATATGTGCAATCTAAATTTCCTACTGCAAAACATGAGGTGACATGCTAAGGGACCAAATCTGCTTTTCCTCACCAGGCTGAGCTGCCAGTGTTGGACAAGACATTTCCAGAGCAGGGGCACAGCAGTGTTTGTAGCCATCTCAATCTGGGCTGGACAGTGAGCGGAGGGTGAACAAGCCACCCTGGAAAAGACTGTAGGAGTGACCTGAGAGGCCCCTGCCCTTGGCAGCCTTTGTGAGGGTGAGCCTTCATGTGCTTTGTGTTTGCTGCAGGCTGGGTGTGCACATCCACAGGACACTGTGAAGCTGCAGTGTTGTCCCTGGGCAGGGTGAAATGGTGCTCCAGGAGTTTCAACCCCTGCCTAAGCCAGGCTTGCAGCAGCACTCCAGGATAGTTTTCTCTAGCCAGATTTCTTTTTCACTATTTTGTTTGCTGCTGACCCAGTGGCTCAAAACTTCACTTTTATAGATAACCAAGGCACAACCCCTCATCTAAATAGTTACTTCTGACCTATAAAGGCATAGGTAAGACTTAAAGGTATTGCTATTTGCTAAAGTGGTTCTCAGAGTCGATTTTATTCAGAAATGGCCCAGCTCTGCAGTGGTCACATGTTCAAAATGGGCTGGTGATCAGCTGTCAGGTTCAGGCAAGAACTGAAGAGCCTACCCAGAGTGAAGTTCCTGGGAAAAAATCAAAGAGATCTCCATGTAACAGGCAAAACCAAACTGTTTTCAGCTTGCCCACAGACGCCCACTAATGAGAAGAGAGAAGAAGGAATAGCCTCAGCTCTGGGTGTGCAGAATGACAGCTACGCGGAAAATTCCGTAAAGGAACGGGTCAGTAAAAATTAAGCTCTTATCCAAATCCTGAGGCAACTATTAAGGAAATCTTTGGAACTAGAAGAAACTTAGTGCTGTTTTTTGAGGTTCTTCTGACACTTTGGTCTGGATCCACAATGGACAAAGCTCAGCATGTGCCTACATGCTTTGTGAGCTTGGGACCTGCTGCTTTTTACTGGAAGGGATAAATAAGTGGTTCTTTGAAGCTAATGGCCTCTTTTGCCTGTATATGTATGTCATAATCCCATTGCAATCCTGTGACAGCCTCCCTCATGTCAGACTGGCCTTGTACACACATTAAGGAGCTATCAGGTACTAGCTCTCTGCCCAGCCCACACCCTTTCCCTCTTGCCTCCCCTGTGTTGCTTCAAATCATTTTTCTTTGCTTGCTTGTTCCTTGCCTGCAGTGATGGGTGTGTGCCCTTTTCCTCACTGGGAATCTGGCAGTAAATCATCCATTTGCCTTTTTTTTTTTTTCTTTTTACATTCTGGAGCAGCTGCTTTGATTAGTTTGAAGTAGAATAAAAGACCTATAAATGGGGAGAATCCTGAAGGTAAGTACTTTAGTGGGGACTTAATGTCAAGGTACAGCACACAGAGTAGCTTTTACAGGGACCATTTAAAAACTGTTATCTGCTGTATATTTTAAAGGCAGGACATAATTCAGACGTCTGATTGACTGCCCTTGAACATTGATTTTTGCTCTATAATTTTTATTTTTAAGAAACCTTGATTTGAGAACTTTTTGAGGACATCACATATTGCGTTCATCACCCTTCGTGGATTACTTCTGCTGCCTGAGCTGCACTAGATTTGTGGGGATAATAAGGCAGAGGAAGGAATGGCAAACTCTGTCAGAGGAGCAGTGGAAAAGTCACTCCTGTAAATCTGAGGATTGCTTAAGAATTCTCTTCCCTTTTCACTGTAGAAAGTGTTATTTCTAATTTTTTTTTCTGGTTCTAATTACTTCAGGGAGGACATGATTCAGTGATCTCTGATCCCTGCAGAGACCACGACACAGTCTGAATCCTTCTCTTGGGAATGGGGAAATGACAGTGACCCCTAGGGAACCCTCAATAGGAAAAGCATTTGCCATTCTGAAGCACTGAGTCTAGGGATTCAACACAAAAATTTAGGAAGACTACTAGACTTGAAATGTACTTCAGAAAGCTGTCAATCAATTATCTGTAGCTTTCAAGTCAGACTGGTGCTCTTAAATACATTCTTGAAGTAGTCTTTAAACTGAGTCTTCCTCACAGCATGTCTACTCAGATTATGGTGCTTTTATGACCCTTTTCTCAGCACTCTTCTCATCTCCCCCAAGATGCACTCTCTGTGTTTCCCTTGGTGTTTACAGAGTTCGGTGTTTGACCAAGTCTGTTTTCACCCCTCCAGAGAAGTGTTGTTGGGTTTGTTGCATGAGGTGGGGCATTTGAGCAGCTCCTGCAACTTGAGGGCTTTTAATGAAGAACCTCTTTGGGGCTCTCTAAGTATGCTGGTGACCAGAATCCTCCCCCAAAAGCATGATTTTCACTCAATTTTACACCTAATCCACTTCCACTCCCCCTCTCATGGGGGATCTCATGAGAGATGCTGACCAGGTTTTCTCCAATCTGTGCACCACTTTCTGTTGTTTTTATCATGTCTCCATCACCCCACCACTTCACTGCTGTTTGACTCTTCTTCATGCTGTTCCCTAGCTCAGCAAAGAGTTCTGTTGCCCTGCCCTTTTCTTGAGTCTTGGGGTGTGTCTCCCTCTCAGAAGGTTTTGGACTGTAGGGTTTACACCACAAGAGATGTTTCCTTGGATCTTATGAAGTGCTTGAGGTCAATGCTGTGATTCTTCTACTTGGGCCAAGTCTGCCTCTGATGTGCCCGCTCCAAAGCTGTGGAGCTTAAATGCCAAGTCAACTGATATGTCTGCTCTGCTTTTGCAAGTGGTGCTCTACATTGATTTCCAAATAGTGTTTTCTTTATTTTGGAAGAGGTGCCCCTGGCCTTAGGCAGTTCAGTGGAAGCTGGACACTGGAGGTTTGATGGAGATGGAGGCTGAAGACCATGAGTAGTATATGCCTGCCTGGAGATGTCTGTGCACTTGTCTTCCACTTATTTTCTATTAAGGAGTATTAATACTCAAAACATAAATTAAGCAAGTAGTTTCAGCATGCTTGCCCTGCTTCCTTTAAGACAGGGTATAACTCTAACATGTTTGATATTTCCATTTTTACATAAGTAAGAAACCTCCAAGTCTGAAATACAGCATACAGCTCCTTACAGAAGTTCAAACCAATTTTAGAATATTACCATGTTATCACAAGCCAAAAGCATTGGCAATCAAATGTGGTTTTGAAGCCGTTAGCTTGTTTTGGATTTTTTTTTGCTTTGATAGCACTCATGGCTTTTGAGGAAATGAACTCACCGACAGCTTGGAGGGCAGGACTGGTTCAGGCATGGTGAAAAAACCCCTAACACCACTGTTTAGTCTTTGAGTCTGAAATTAAATGATATCCCTTTATTTCCATAAACGTTTCTCTTCGCAGATGTACTGGGAAGGGAATTCAGTGAGAGGGTAATTCAGTGCCTTTGAATGCATGGACAACAGAGGATGACAAAGCCTCAAAACAAATGTCCTGAAAAGTGTTTATTACCAGGTATTAAAACAGGTAAAGCTGGCAAAAGTATTTTAGCATGTCTTTGCGTTGTTGACTGCTACCAATATGTTAGACTCTTTTTTTTTTTTTTTTTAATCTCATCTCATTTATGGGATGTGCTCACTGATGCTTAAAGAGACCTTGAAACATTGACATCAGAATTGAATTACTGATGTGATAAATTGGAGGACCACTCGAACAGGTCATGCTGGAGCAGCCTGCCAGGTGAGTGGGTGGATGTGCAGGTGTGTAAGTGCAGAGTACCTTTTTCTTGCCAGAAGCATTTCATGTATGTACACCTCAGGAAAACAAAGGGAGGTCTTCTCTGCCAAATACAACATTGCATAAAAGCTAGAGGATCTTCTTGGCTGCGTTTGCCCTGGAGGTGAAGTGAGGGCTTGAGAAAGGGTCCTGGCACATGAGCCTCTTTGCCGTGGCTCTGGCCTCGGAGGGATGTGCTGCAGCTCCCCCCTCCAGCCCTGCCCACCTGGAGCTTGGCATGAGCTCCCCCAGCCGGGAGCTGTGCCGCTGTGGCTCCGCACCACGGGTCATTTAACAGCCTTGGCTCCTCCACACTCCCTGGCAGCCCCGGCAGCGGCTGCAGCAGAGCCAGTGAGGACCCTTGTGCCGGCGTAAGTGGGAACAACAAAATCCTCCTTTTCTGCATGGCAGGCCAGCCCAGTGCTTCTGCTTGAGTTGAAGCCCAGTTATCTTTTCAAAAAGCGAAAGAATCAGACTCAAGAATTTAACCTTGAACTTTACATTTTAGTAACGGTGCCGGTCAACTTAAGAAAGAGACACCTGTTCACAATGTCATCCAGGTATGTGGGTTTAATACACGATTTATCCATCTGTGAACAAGGGTATGAGACAACACTTAAAGTTGATCATTACTATTTTTACCACATTTCTCCCCTGCCCCGAAACTCCATTTTGTTTTCAACTGAAACAACATTTTTCTTTTGTCAGCTGACCTGGAAAATCCATTATTCAGCTAAGTACAAGCTACCTCAAATATGTGTAGCTTCTGTCTAGAGAAGTAATCTGTGTTTTTTGCCATCAATCTAGAGTTTCAGACTATTTGTTGTACCCTTTCCTTTATAGTTATGATTTGCTCTGTTCTGTGGCATGAAATATGATAATCTGAGCAGGACAGAAATGCAAAACAGTCCAATTTTTACAACCAGATTTAAAATTTCTATTGTTTGCTACAAACACAATGAAGTTTAAAAAAAGTGCTGTATTAATTTATTCTTTTCTAGAAGCAAAAAAATGGAGAGGGGAAAAGGAATCTGTAACAGAAAAACCATAGAAATCAACATCGATATTTGTTGTTTTCTAGCTTTTATTTCCTTTTACTTTTTAAACTATGTTTTTCAAACCATCCACTTGCAGAAATTTGCATTTTATGAGGACAAAGTTACAAAATGTGATGAGATTGTTTTAGGTAACTTACCTCTTTTTCCTCAGCTTGTGGCATCTAAAACTAACTGTGCTTGTCATCTTCTCAGTAATTTCTCAGCACTGGAGTTAAAATATAATCTAAGTTTGCACCAAATGAGCTGCTCCAAGATGAGTTTGCCAAACTCTGTATTGCAGTGGGATTTCTGCAATTATGATTAGATACTGTCAAACAAAAATGATCTGTGGAATACAAGTGAATCCAACATTGATTAGCTTCTCTAAATCCCACAAGAGGTTAGGAGAAGCACAGCTTGCGTTTAATCTTTTGTCTCGGTGTCTCTGCCAACCACAGTTGTGCTGGTAGATACAGAGCAACTGAAAGGGGATGAAGGGAGGAGAAACAAGGGGCTGATGGAGGACTTTTCTGTTACTAGGATTTCTATTTTAGGATGCTGGTGGTGCTCACCAGTGGTCTCAGAGTTACTGGATAGATTGTATAGCTGCATCTCATCCAGAGGACAGAAATCACCAGCACAAGAGTTTGTGTGTGCTGATTATTTTTACACCTCTCCATCCACCTGCCTTTTTTTGGCTGATTATTGGTTCTCCCACCAAAAAGTAAAATAAACAGACAAAGGCAATATTTGTCTTAGTCTTGTCCAAGAAATTCCCAATGGGAAATGAAAGCTTATTTCTGCTCTCTATTAGTGGATTTTACATTCCTGCTCCACAAACTGTTCTGCATGTGAAAAAGAGCTCTCCATTTGAGCAGTTTCTCTGACAAGCTTCATAACTATTTGCTGGATTAAGGCAAAATTAGGATTTGTGTCTAATTTTAATTAATCCCAAACAGTGCTTCCATTTCTGCTGTTGGCCAGTCAAGAGAAACAGGTGAATAGTCAATAAGTTGTATCTTTTACAAAAATATAATGACTACTGCATGAAGATGTTATCTCTGCTGTAAAGCTGTCATGTTATTCTTTGGGGAAGGAAATTCTTATTTTCCAACTCATGTACCTATGCAGAGCAGTCACTCTTTTTGTACTCTGTACATGCAAAATGCTTAATAATTTTATCTTCAGCTTTCAAGCATAAAAGTGAGAAAGTTACCCTATTCCAAACTTAACTACTTGTGTATGTTGTCGGTATCAAATAAGATTACTGCTTGGAAGATAGTGCATTTATCTTTCACTTGAAATAACCCAGGAGAATGTCAAATGCAAAATGATGTTTGAAATCTTGGCGTTTACTGCTGCTTTATACTGTGTGTGTGCAACTTCAGTCAACAGCAGTGACATTATTGTGTGAGGCCCTGCAACTGAAGGGAACTGGCACTCTATTAAAAATCCCTCTTTGCGAAGCTCAACTGGAAATATGTTACTATGCAGCTCTGTGTTTGTCTCCTAAAAAGTGGTGATCAGAATCATGTCTGCTACCAGCCAGGCAGGATTCTCTCCTTGTCAGTTTATTCCTTCCTGTAGCTAATCCTTTATCCGGTGTTATCCGGCCGTCGATGTCCTACTCGTTCCTCTCACATCAGGCACTCTTTGCTTTGGCTTTTGTCCCGTGTAAATGCTGCCCTGCCAAGTCTCTCTGCGATGAGCTCCCTTCTGTGCTCTGCTGTTGCAGCATCAGCATCTCACATCTTCGTGGATCAGCTCTTCCACCTCTCTCTGCTCCGGTGATGTGGGTGCTGCTGGCAGAGTAGCCTGCATAGAGCATGGGGCCCTGGGCAGCAGGACATGGAGTGGCTGGGGATGGTGGATGCAGCATGGGAGTGGGTGATGTTCATTGTCACTGTCACCTGGGCTGAGGGAGTCTGCGTGCTTGTGCCTGCAGGGGGGTTATCTATCAGCTTTGCATCACTGCTGAAGTTAATTGCTGGGAAGGTCTGGTGGTGTTTTCAGAGATGGACTGGTGGACATAGCTGTCAGCCTTATATCCTCTTGCTTATGTTGGTCATCACAGGGGCTCTTTGGAGCAGGAACATACACACACTCACACATACACAGACACACACACTCTCACACACACACACACAGTTTCCATGTGTGGCCGTATTTCACAGAGATCAGACCTGAATCTGTGCTGCTGTATACAAAGGACTAGACATAAAGTCAATAAGTGTGACTTCACGCAGCTGTAAATTCTCTCATCCTGTCATCTTCCCATTCAGGGAAGAAAGATGTGAGAATCATGCAGATTCAGAAGCAGAGGTTCATGGAAAGACTGAGTGTCTCCTGATCCCAGCATGGATGGTGGCCCCTTCTGGAAGTAGCTGTGTTAGTGGTAGGGTTTATTAGGGCAGTCTATGCCCCCACAATTACCTTATTCTTGCTAGAGACTGCTTACTTTGTACCTCAGCTCTGCCAAGCAAGTTGCTCATGTGAAAGCTCTTTAATTTCTGTTTTTTAAAGTCAAACTGAACCTGTCATATTTGACATCTGTCCTTGGGAGATGAGAAAAGAACAGCTGGGAGAGCAACCTCCGTTGGTGGCTGTCAGAAAAGGATGTTTGGCTACAATCTAATCATAACAGATATGGGTGAGTCTACACATAGATTGATTAATATTGATTAAGAAGGTGTATCTGGGAACTCTCCCAAAGCTAACTGACAGTGGAAAACAATCTTTTTCAGTGAATTCTCTGGCATGAAGTAATTTGATTAGCAGAAAGAATGGAAAGATTTTGCAAATCAAGGATGGGAGAACTAAATGGGATTTGAGGTGATGCATTCAGTTCCTGGCTCTCCACAGACTTACAGCTTGACGTTGCCTGGGCTCACCAGTGTCTTTGGACATCCTTTCCAAGTATGTACAGGTATGACAGCGGGAATAACTTTTCTCTCCTATTTTTATCAGGATCAGCTGCATTATTCTCTGTTTCCTGTGTGTGTGGCTACAACACACAGTGCATCTGGGAAGTCTTAGCTAGGGTCCCTGGCCAGCTTTGCCACACATTAAAAAACAACAGCAAAAAGGTGGTCAGAAACAAAGGCCAAAGCAGATCTCATTACTTCTTTAGTGGTTCATCAGAAACTAGCCTAAGGCCTGGTGCTTGGCAGGCTGTTCCTACAATTCCTCTGAAGGCTGATCTCTTCTGCTCTGTATTCAACTGCATGAATACCACATTCCTCTTTTCATTCCTACTGAGCCTACCTAAAGACTGACAGCTGTATGGCATACTACTCTTGTCTGTGAAATGGATTATTTTCCACAATGGGCTGAGATGAGATCAGAATAAGGGGAAACAAAGTTGGTTTTAAAAAAAAAAAAATCAGTCAGCAGTATATTTCCCTCTTTTTTATGAATAATGTATAAATTCATATAGTGAGTCTAATAATTAACTTTTTTTGACTTCTTATAAAGTGCTGAAGAATGTCTAATGAATACCACATTATCTATTCATTTTAACTTCAAGTATAATTCTGAGGTATCATTAACTACAGCTTTACCTAACTGTATATATCAGAGTCCATGGGATGTTTTATTTTAGGCTTTAAATCTTTTAATTCAGCTAAAAAGTGACTTTAGTATAGGACTTGGTAAATAATGTTAAAAATAGCACTTTCACACTGTAATCATGCCAGGAGAAATGAAAGAGTAGCC